GAACACGCTGTGTGAAAAGAAGAGCGGTGGGACAATGGCATGGAAGGATCTCCAGAATTGTGCAGTCCCTCCAGAGGATCAACAGCAGGTAAGATTAGATGCCAAGTTATGTTTATACAGTTATTTATTTATTTATTTATTTATAGATCAAATTTATGTGCCGCCCATCTCACTATATAAGTGACTCTAGGCAGTTCACAAATAAGCATAAAACAAGATGGGCGGTGATTACTTTGATAAATAAATAAATAAATAAATAAATAAATAAATACAGTTTAAAAACTACAAAACAAAGTTAAAAGATGGAGAGAGCATCCTTAAGGCACCAGTCACCCCCATTGGGTCCCCATGCCAGTTGGCAGAGCCAGGTCTTAACGCTCTTCCGGAAGGCCAGCAGAGTGGGGGCCGATCTCACCTCAGGGGGCAAGATATCCCACCGGGCGGGGGCAACGGCAGAAAAGGCTCCCCTCCTAGACCCCACCAGTCGAAAATCTCCAGCCGGGAGGGTCCGCAACGTGCCCCTCCTGCCAGACTCAGTGGGATGGGCCGATGTAACCGGGACAAGATGGTTGCTCAGGTAACCTGGTCCGTGCCACGAAGGGCTTTAAAGGTCATAACCGACACCCTGAATTGGACCCGGAAGCAAACCGGCACCCAATGCAGCTCGCGCAGTAGAGGTATTACATATGCAGCCCTAAGGGCCCCCAAAACTGCCCGCACCACTGCATTCTGCACCAGCTGCAGCTTCCAGATACTTTTCAAGGGTAGCCCCACGTAGCACAGTTTATATTTGCAGTTTAATTATTGAAAGCTGCCTTGTCTCAGCTTAGCCAGCCACCTGTGAAGCAGATTTTAATCCTTTTAATAGTTGATTTTAATTCAAAATAGAAATACAACTCTCCTAGTTGTATTTGTATTTGTTCTACTCTGGTTAGTTTTTTCCGCAGGTATTTTGGGATTTTCCAGCAATGCCAAACTATTTGATTCATTTATGGCACAGTATCCTCATGTTCATGAGAAATGCCAGGCTGGAAGAATCACAAGCCGGAATTAAGATTGCAGGGAGAATC